ATTAACGGTATTCAATATTGCCACTCCCCACCAACAACTACCCCAAACCTACTCAGACAGTATACACATTAACGGTATTCAATATTGCCACTCCCCACCAACAACTACCCCAAATCTATTCAGACAGTATGTACATTAATAGTATTCAATATTGTCGTCCCCAACAATAACTACTCCAAACCTACTCAGACAGTGGATATCCAGCCTGGTGCTATGATTTTCCTCCACGTAAACACAAAGTTGGAAATGACGTACTCGTCGGTGCAAAGAAAAAACACTTTTTCAACCATTTCAGCTTTTGACGAGAAGTGAGGACGCCACAGCTGACTGGTTAACAGTCAATCCGTACCGTACATAATTGTAAACACGACACTGTTAACGGTTTCAGAGATCATCCCCTCCTTCTTTAACCCACCCATGAAACGATCCCCGTAAATACGAACGAATCTCTCCGAATTTCAGACCACCAGAATACCACTGCTGCCAGCCACAGACACGACGACGTTCATCCGACCTCCCCAACAGTGGTACCAAAGACTCCCGCCACCCACGCAAATACAAATATCCACCGCCTCATCGGCAATGTGCACGTCGGTGCAGCCATTGCGCCCAACGACAATCACGCGTCATCCCCTACAGGTTCAGGAACGATCGATTAGTCTTACCGAAACGATAGCAACGTTTTGTTTATCCCGTGTACTGATCGAGAACCCAACAGGTGCAAGAGAGGTTCCTGCAGTCGAGCCCGATACCGATACCGGTTTATCAGCACCCGGTTGAAATGTACCACGAGACAGGCCAGAAAAGGAAGAACCAAGGCGCCGACTTCAAGAATCTGATACTGTTGACGAGGAACGCCATGAAGGCGCATCGGGGCCAATCGAAAGTCCCACAGCAGAAGAATTACGTTCTGGAAACGAGAAATCGAAACGCCAAGTCGGAATCCGAGGTGCTTCAATGGCTGGACAAGAGTTGCCCGTCGAAGCCCAACGAGGCCGCGGTCGACACCTTGGCCACGGAGTTGAGGAACGTCGAGCGGAGATGCGACAGAAAAACGTCCGGTTCCGCGAAGGAAAAGGACAATTCGAAGAACGTGGAACGTCCCAAGACGGAAGCTGGGACCTCCGTTCAAGGATCCTACCCGAAATCGGCTAGCGAGAGGGACAAGAACGAAGGTCGCAGCAAAAAGAGACTCTACAGGGACGTTCTAGCGAACAGCGCTGAGAACCAAGCTATGATGGAGAACGTATTCGAGAAAAGGTGCGAGCGAAGTATTCGTTTTCATCAACGAATGAAAAAACATCACCTTTCTTTTTTTTTTTTCTTTTTATTCATTTTTTTGCAAACAGAATCGAAGTAGGAGCGCTGGAAGTGGTAAAAAAAATTGTTTTGAAAGAAAATTCAATTTTCTTTTTTTAAATTTCTTGTTTCTTGCAAAAATTGAATTTTCTTTCAAAACAATTTTTTACCACTTTCAATGCTCCTAATTCGATTCTGTTTGCACATAACTGTCCGCAATCACTTAAATTTTAATGAAACAGAGTGATTTTTCTTCCCCATTTTTTCATGTTCCCCTTAAATATCGCCACTTTCTTTGTTTGACACGTTGACGATAACTTTCGTGAATATTTTTAACCGACTTCGAAAAGGAGGAAGTTACTCAATTCGACGTGTATAAATATATGTATATATATATATATTTTTTTTTTTTTTTTTTTTTTTTAAATACAAAGCTAGAATTTTGTTTGAGAAGGAAACTACGTAATCTAAGATTTCTCACAGGATTTGTTCATAGAACCTTATCGAAATACAGGAATCACGTCCGGATTTATTTTCTTTAACAGCTCATCTACCGACTGAACTTTTTATAAATTCACAGTCCTGACTTAGCGTTATAGTAATGTATGCGTGGTTGATACCAGGTACGACGAATTGGAACAACAGGCGATAGAGCAGTACAGAACTTCGGAGGAATCTCTGGCGCTTAAATACCAAGTACGCTATCACAGTTACGCTATACAGTAGCGCTATGCATTACTACACCGTCGCAATTAGTTGCTATCTTCTCTGTTTTATCGAGAAACCCTTGATTCTACGTCCAAATTACTTTATCGAATGGTATTCGTATAGTTTGTTTACGCTTACGCAAGTTTTAAACGACGACTGAAACTTCTCTCGATTTTATGCGAACTACATCGTACATTTAATTTTATTAATCAGGAGCTCGAACGTCAGGCGATGGAACAATACGGATGTTGCGGAAACGCGACGGAGGAAGGGTCGACGTCGCAGACGTCGGCTGATCAGGAAGAAATCAGCGACACCTCCGCGAAAACTATCAAAGACACCAACTGTTCGGACGGGCGAAAGTGTTCAGGTTTTGGACGCTGCAGTCCCGTGAATTCGAACGAGAAAGATACTTTTCCGCGAGATAAGTTCGCGCAGACCGAAAATAAAAGCGAAACGGACGCGATAGATAATCGACCGAGCGTCCTTTCGACTACGGCCTCCCAAAAAGTGTATCACGAATCGAAAAACACGTCTAAGGGTGCATCAGGTGATAAAATCGACGAGAATGGTAAATATAACGAGTCTACGGGTCTATACAGGATTCCAGTCGCGCATACGCGTCGAAAAAAGCTGAGCGCGCAGTGCCGTAACTATAGGAAACAATTTATCATTCCACAGCCAGAACCAGGAGAACCGTTTTTTTTTTCTAGTTATAGAAAATGTGTTTTGTCTGTAAAATTATTTCAACCAGTATCCCTACGTCATAATTTATCCGCACAATTAATTAACAATTTTCATTTGTAATTCTATTTTTCTTCGGGGCGACTAAGATACTGTATTGGCGCTAAAACCAGTGCGCATGCGCGACTGGGAGCTTAATCTGCCATCGCACATGGCTGAGCGCGCGCTATTAAAAAATAGTTCGAAAACGAAGCACCATCCGACATTTTTATTATACAAAGAAAATTGTGGTTCAGAACCGTCTCGATTACCCCGGTTCTTACACTAATTCCGGGACACCCTGTGTATACGTGCAGAAATTAATTCTGTGCCTTTACGTTCGATCGTTTACAACTATAACATCTTAAATATTAGGTTGTCCCAAAAATTTGCTTTCGTTTTATTAATAGGTAATACATACACGATATTTTATGTTTTTTCTTACATTGCTGAATTGTGTACGATTCATTTTGCTCAATTACAGTTACAAAATCAATATCTAAGAAATTATATTGTCTACTTATATAAACACTGCCGCACAAAATAATTGAGTGCAACTCGCGAAAGAAACTTTTGGGAGACCTAATAAATCGTTCGAAATTTCAGTCCGAGGATCGTCGAAAAGGCCTCTGATACTGGTGTCACCCTACGAGAAACGATCAGAGGCCAGATTAACGAGAACAACGGACCTAGAGGAATTTTATTGTATCGCGCAGACGAATAAAAATATCTTCGATTATTATAACGATACGAAAATCGGCAAGTTGGGTGGCGGCGACGAGAACATAACTATCATTCAGTCGCCCAGAACGGAAGGTAGGAACAAAACGATACGAATAGGAGCTTGGATGATTAACTCCTTGTTTTTTTTTTTTTTTTGCTAATAGTTTGGCTCTCCGGATTTTGGACTACTTAAGGACTCGAGGAAAGAGTGTAAACCTTGGAACAAGCAATGAAAGTGTAACGCATCGAAGAAAACAACTACGGTACATGGATTCATGTATTTTATTAATACATGTATTTTGTTAATAAATGCTTCAATACTGTGTCATTTATATACATACATATTCTTTTAATAAAAATGACTTGACAGTTGTCGTTGCAGAGCATTCCAACATACGTTAGCGCACACACACATATGCGTTACACGTACACGTTTCGATACGAAAATGTGTTTCGTTACGTTTGTTCGTTAATAATTTGTAAAGCTGCAAAAATACCTATGCTATGTATTACAATTACGATGCACCAGAAAATTATCACTATAATCCTATATGCACTATAATCCTTAACAGCTGCTCGTATAAAACTTGTCGCTATTGTTCGAGACGTATATCGACGATGAATCCAACGTGAATATAGTGATCAAATGAAATATAGCCTCTTCAGTCTTTAGTCAAATACTTTTTGTATATCTGAGAATTTGTTCTAAGTTCTAAACGAAGATAATTAATCGTATTATCTTAGGAAGAGATGTATTATTAATTTGTAAACATTTCGTTTAAATAAAAATACGGATATAAAACGATTATCAAAATACTAAATATTCCTACAAAAGCCTTACGTTTGTTCGTTAGCTCCGATTATTTCCACTCGCACAATTGTACACACATCGAAAAAATTTTATCGATATTCGTGTTGACCTTTGCGTTATAGCAATAAAGAAATTGCATACACCCCGTATGCGAACCTTACTACGTTCGATATGCACATATTTTACCCCTGACTAATAGTTCTTTTCAGTATTATACTTAGCTTCTCGTAGATTACGAACTTACTTTGCAACCAGCACACTCGTCATACCAGGATAATTTGCGAAGAGTTATCATAATTTGAGATCATAACTAATATTATATAGGTACTCGAAACTATATCTTAAAAGCAAATATATTATCCGAAGCAATAATAATCTGTACCACCATGGCGTTTATCGTTTCAGGAACTAAAATTGTATAAACACGTTTTAACGCAATCTTATAAGAACGATTGTAGTACCAGGTTTAATTAAACTTAATTATATAGAGCAGAGTCTAATATATCTACCAGTTATCGAGGAATTCGAAACCAGTCTTTGGTATAGTTCTCTCCTCCTCCTCCTGATTTAGTTGAGAAAATTGGAAACTACTGTAAGAACTAGGCGTTTCTAACAATGCGGTCGACTCGTTGATATCGCTTGATTTCGTGCGCGACATAACAACTAACGTATTCGATTGACTTTTATCGGTATCCGAATCTCTTTCCCTAACTAAGCTCTCCATATCGTCAGCTAGAGTGTTTTGTAGCTTCAACAACGACGTTTTATTCATTAACTTGGCAAATATACTTTCAGAGTGATCGTCGGCGTTACCTTTCAACAAGTTGCTGCATTGTTCACCTTCAAACATGCTACTCGAAAAACAATCGGATTGGAAACGACCAACTTGGTGAGACGAAGCGTAAGGATCGCCTAGCGAATTTCCATTGTTTCTCTGTGATTTTGCTGGGCTTGAGAAATGCGGTGATTCTCCAAACTGAGCTCTTATTAATTTTACTTTCACATCTTCGTTCGAATCAATTATGCTGAGATTCATTTGGGACTGAGTCATAAATGAAAATGGAGCTGAATGTTCATCTCTCCAGCGTAAAGTCTGTAATATCACGTAATCTTTCATATATTTGTATATATGTTAATATATATAATTAAAATCAAATAAAATATAAATAAAATTAGTAATGTACTCACAGAACCAGTCTCGTCGATGACGTACTTCATGCCAGTCTGAATACGCAGCTTTGGATACCATTCTGGAAGCTCCTTGGTAAGCTCTACTTTCTTTAAGGTGTACTTCAACGCTACCTCTGGTTGAATTATAGTCTCGTTGATCGCTTGATTCCGCTCTGCTGTGCTCAACGTGTTCCACAGTCCCTCGTATGCTTCCTTTGTGGCAGTGATGTCTTCCCCTATTCTTTGCGCCAAAGGGTTTATACTGTAGAAATATTGTTCAGCCCTCGAGCTCAAGGTAGCACTCATACCGAAAGCTTCAAACTAATACGACTAAGGTATCTGCAATCATAAAAGAATAACATTAGTGACACCAATCTGGAAATAACAATGAATAGAATACGAGAAATATCATAAAATTGATGATGAGATAGTTCCTAATAAAGGTTACAATACCACGCAGAAACGTCTAATTATGAACAGATACGAGGACAGTCGAGCACTTAAGAGCCAAAATGCTCAATTACGAGAATTATAGACAGCATGAAATTAGACAATAGGAACGTCAGTGAAAATATATTCCACGCAATGTCCACAAGTCGGTTGACAGGCTGACATAGGCTGCCAGGACGCCCATAATTATGTTGGCGCGTGCGTAAATTTAAACCTACCATACTTTCACGCAAACATTTTTCATTCGTTTACAAAAACCCTCGAGTAACTTTAACAAAACGAAAATACTACAAATGATCGACTCGCGCGATAAATAAATATCTTATACTGCGAATACTCGATTCCCAAGAACGTAACGAACGCATAATGGTTACGCTTGGGTGGAAAAGAAAATTTGGAATTTTTCGACGACTATGGAAATGTTGGACAGAAATGTTGTTACACTGACGCTCGTAACAACAAAAACCGAAGTGAATATAAACTATGAGCTATTAAAATATCGTTATAGAATATATGTGAGTAATAGAAGTGATCGTGAACGAATAAAATTGAAACAGTCGGCTATATGTATACATGTATAGCTATCCATTGCGTTCAATCGGAAAATGAAACGTAATATATCGCTAATAGAAGTAAGTTCTTTGCAGAATATTCAATATACGACGATTAATAGGTAACGATAATGGATATATGAAATGATAAAGCTAATCTTAGTAATAGAAAAAAGTTATAATTACGTTCATCAAAGTAGAGTTCTGAAGAGCACCCATTTCAAGACATCCCGCGTCGAGCCAATAGATACCGGAAGTGGAAAACTTAAGTTTCTAGCGAAGCCAAGTCAAAATAGAGATTAAAATATAATTCATTCTTTTTTTAATAGACAATATTAATTTGGATAATGATAATGTCAATGTTAAAATACCTTTTTTATTAAAACAGGTAGTTTGATCTCGAAGTTGAAAAGATGTTTACCAAATTTTATTGTGATGTATTCACGTCTTTGAATTCAAGCGGGAGAAGCTTAGACGTGAAATGAACATTCTAGAAATGTAATTTTCAATTTTGGTATTGTTAAGTAAATACAAAAATATCGAACACTCGGAGAATAAACATCAATTATAAAAATGTCTTTTATATTTAATAAAATACACTTGAAATTTATGCAAAATTAAAATTTATTATTAAAAGTAAGATCAACAGATAACGTAGTACATTTCGTATGGGTTAGTCCATTCCAGTTCTACACGAAGTATGAACAGAGAATAACCGTTAGTTAAAATGCAAGTAAAAGTTTAATTCGTTTGCTAACTAAAATTAACTTGGATAGGAACATGTATTTAATCGTATCAAAGATTTCAAGGACCCATTTTATTGTTTTTCTTTAAAGTTATTAAAACTAACTTTTCGGAAGTAACTAACAATCGACATAAAAGGATACCGTGTTAAAATATTCAATAATAGAGTTGTTTAAACGTATTATTTATACGTTAGACAATATAATGCCCTATTATTAGCTAGAAAACTAACTGAATGTCACTAAAATTATCGAATAAGTCAATGTTTTTTTTTTTATTATTATCATACAAATATATACACATCGTTATTTTAAATCAGTTCTTGCGCGTTTAGTAACCGTTTTCGTACTCCATAATTTAAACGGAACGGATTGCTTACTTTAAAATGTACACAGTACACAAAAAAAAAATGATAATTATTTACAGACAACAATGTTTCGACAGGAATGATAATAAATAAAGAACGCATGTGATATCATGAGAATTATACTTAACGGTGGCTGCTTTAAGTATCACTTACACAGTTATCGGTATTCTTTAGAAAGATATTTCAAGTATAAACGAGCGTATGTTTTAATCGTAATCTATTTTCTTTTTCTCTTCTTACAAAATATATTTACAACCGGTAGTGTATCTCGGCAATTTGTTGGTGAATTACGAAACGAAACTGTCAAATGAAAAAAATAATCAACTCTTTTTATCTTATAGCTGTATCTCTGTATTAACTCTGCGCGTTTTTATCATTTATAATTATATTCTTTCATTCGAAAAACGGACGTGATTTAGTAACACTGCGTAATAATATGATTATTTACAGTACAGACAAATCTTTTCAAGTATCCGGGATATATTATATCTTTTCTTCGTTTTTTCCTTAGTAAAACAAATCTATCGATTAGGTACGTTAGTAACTCTCACTGCGGTATGTGTATTTGCATGTATACGTTTAGCGTTCTCGTTTAAAGGAATCATGATTTCGTATAAGTAAAACAAATTAAATCTTTTGCAAGTCTGAAAGCATAAAAAAAGTTTCCATTCCTCTCGTGTATGATTAAAACTCTAATAGTTTTGTATATTTGCATATTTTCGTAAATCGAACGATACACGTATAACTTGTCGTACTTCAATGGAAATGTGGCACAACTTCTTGGAACAATTATTTACCTATGCAACGTGCGGTAAGTTTTTCTTTTTTTTTTATATATTCGATGTCTTTATTAAAAAAAAATATAGTAGCAGTGACGATGATTCACGCGCGTATCAAATCGCGTATTAAAAACTTCTTTTTATAATGATATATGACATGTCCACAAATTTATATATATATATATACATATATACATATATACATATATATACATATATATATATATATATATATGTATGTATACATAATAGATATATACTATCTTCTCACAATGATTGCATATCTCAAATCTTGTTCTATATTATTCTAAAATAACACGAACGCCTCTTTAACCCTCGTTACAAATACTGTATTGCTTTAAGACTATAATAAACTAATAATAGATATGTAAACTGAACGGAAAAAAAATACAAATATCAGAAGTAGCAAAAACAAAAAAGGTGAAAAAAAATTCGCATCGTCTAATTCAACTAAAAAAATAACCCGTCGCGATAAGCAGGCAATACAGCGATACTCGTACAAGGAAATCCTTGATAATGAAATGTATGAAGATGGTTAAAGGATTGCACGAAACGTAGGCCGAGTGTAGAATCGTCCACAGTTACCTGTTTGACAAATGTTTCAGAGGACCCAGACTTAGTATAGATGTAGCACCAAGTGCACCTAAATTAAAAGTATTAGGATTCCTTGCACCGTCAATCGTAATTATAGGCAATCCAAAGTAACCGCCTGTTTGAGCGCTAAGCTGCGCCAACGGTATATAGCTCTGTATACCGAGGTTTGATAAACGATTCAACACGTGAGGTGATTTCAAATCTACCACTGGCAATGCTAACTCTGCACCACCATTTTGTGCAACGGTATCAACTTCCTTGTGATACGCTTGTTTGTGCGTTATCAGCGCCTGAGCTGTCGGATATTGAGCAGGACAAAGATTGCACCTATCGAATAAAAAGTATCGCATATGAGTACCGTAATCGTCGCGCGTAAAGACATTTGGTTAACTTACTTGTGAAGTAATTTACTTGGCGCACGGTGCGTAGCCATGTGCTGCGTTAATAATTCTTGATTCTGAAAATTTTTGTCGCACACTTGACAAGTGAGCAACGCTCTGAAATGATAAACGTACACAGTTATAAATGTAAAACGATAACGACAGAGTTCTCTCTCTAATGTATCTTACCGCGGAGGTCTTCCACGTCTAACCATCGGTATTTGCGGCGGACCGTCCTGCGTTAAATCGACAGTAGGTGGTCTTGGTGGTCTTTCCACTTCGTTCACAGCTGTCTTGTTTTGTTTATTCTGAGGAACGGCGAACTGACTTTGTTCCTGTTGTTTTTTTTGCGAACTAGCTGGTATGATAGAAATAGCAGAATTCAGATTGAGCGCTGTAACATGTAAAGGCTGCTGTGAAGGCATAGTCCTCTGTTGCTGTGAAAGTATCTGCTGTTTGTTTTGTTCGCTTGTTTTATTTTTATTTGCTGCTGGAGTAACAGTAATACCTCTGGCTGCCAGTACATTAGCCACAGCCTTTGCATCAGACTTCTTGCCGCCAGTAGCTGATGTGTTCTGCACTTGAGCTGGAGCGGAACCTTTAGATTAGTAAAATATGCTTTTTTATTCCTGCCGTATACCTCTTCCGCAAATAGCCATTTAAATTTCTTTTTCACATTTTTCTCTGAACATGTTTAAATAAATGTACAAGCATAGATGAGTACATTCAAACGATTGTACTGCAATACGTAACTGAAATACATCTAGAGTACTAAGTATACGTATTCGGTCCTTAGAATAGGAAAATTAAAATAAAAAATAAATTTATAAAAAAAAAAATGAAACTAATTTTTAGAAGAGGTTCGAACGCATAAATAAATCAATACATAATGTGCGTAACAGGAAATATCTGAACAGGTTTTAAAATTACCTGGTTGCCGTACGCTAAGCGTTATAGAATCCGTAAGATGTATGGTAGAATCGTTTCTATTCGTCTGTTGAGGAGTAGCGCCTTGAACGTTTTGTATGACAGGCACGCCGTCGTTTGTTTTTTGTTGTGCAATGACATGACAATCTGCGTCTTCGTTTCTATCTGGCAACAAGACATCCATTCGTCGTTGTTTCATAGCAGAGTTACTTTGTTGCTGAACTTGCATCGGTTGTTGTATAGGACGTTTCATGCGTTGGCGCGGAGATGGTCCAGTCTGCGGAATACGCGGTGCCCTATAAATACGTAGATGCAAATTAAACTGCTTAATAGTTTACCTAGAACGGAATTAATAATTCTATTGTATAAGCTGATACAGTGGCGCCTTTCCAACTGGTGCGTCTGCTTCTCGATTCATATCGCTTCCAATCGATGTAAAATAGTGCATCGCAACAACCGCAACAATGATGTACTGTTATGCCTACCAATAAACCATTGAAGTGTCATCTTGCCGTGATCAGCGATAAGATTCTCATTCACGGATGCTCCTCGAGGAAATGCTTCCTCGCGACCGCTACAACTAGATACTTCCTCTGTATACTTAAATTTGACTGTATCGCGTGTGTTGTCACTCTATTAATTAAATCTAATTGTGCGATTGGAATAGACGGCATAACAGTACTTGGTGCGTTTGCTTATAGAATTACTAGTTCTTCGATAGTTATACATATAGAGAGGTGCCACTGTAGTACATATTTTTCTTTGTAAATACTCTAAATATATTTTTGAATAATAATGGTACTTGCCGACTACTTTGTGCAACAGTAGGATATCTTCCGCGCGACATTTGTTGAGACAATTGGGGATGCATTTGCGGTGGTGCACTCATTTGAGGATACGGACCTGGTCCATACTGAGGATATAGATGTGCTATATGGGGAGGGTAATGCATCCCCTGTGGACCAGGAACTCTATACAGCGGTGGCCTTCCCGGTGGTTGTACAAAGTAATTTGGTCCAGGTATCATTGTATTAGCACCTGGCGGAAGACTTGGTGTCATTTGCGTTTGCGGAAGTGGCATACGTTGCACTTGTTGAGCCAATTGTTGAACGGGTGCGGGTAATTGTTCGAAATTAACAGGCGGTATTATTTGTTGTCCAGCGTTAGGTACTGTATTATACGTAGGAGAATTTGTTTGGTGCGGAGAAGTTAAAGGGGAATTCCTACTTATTTGCTGCGAAGTTGGCGTGTTTGGAGATTCCATTGATACCGCGTGAGGAGAATGCGTATTTAAGTGAGGCGATGCCTGACTCAAATGAGGTGAATTTTGATTCAAATGAGGTGAATTTGTATTTAGATGAGGAGATAACTGACTCACGCTCGGTGAAAGAGGAGTTCCATGCATTTGAGCTTTATGCATAGAAACTTCCAATGGCGAATGAAAAATAAGATTTATACATTCGGAAACATTGCACTGATAATGGCCAGCTTTGCTTCGATGCTCGTCTAGATGAGCGATATCTTTAAATTTCTCGTTACAGACGCGGCAGGTACTAACAGTTTCTGCCAACTTTTCAAGCGAAACATATTCCGTTTCCGATGGTAAATTATTTGCTAATGTATCATTTTGATTATGTCGTTGATGATCGATCAAGTTTTGTAAGAGAGATCCCGCGCTCTCGATATTATTGTCGCTCCTATGTTCAGGCTGTTCTTCGTTTTCTTTAGAAATTGCATTGTTCTTGTTGGACAAATTGGTAGATAATTGGTTCCAATTGAAGCCTGTTGTCCCCTCGGTTGATTCTTCAGGCTTATCTGCATTTTCACATACCGTTGTACTATCTACCGCGTGATTTGAAAATGTAGAAGACTTTGAAATAATACTAATAGCTGGATTCTCTTCTAAATCGTGTATCATGTTGGAGTCAGGTTCTGCCTCATCATCTTCTTCGATTCCGGAATTGTCAATTAATTGACTCATAGATCTAGATCTGAAAAGTTAAGCGATAAATTATGGTAACTAATATTTTACTAAGGAATCGCTTCGTTACGCGATATTACCCTGACTGTTCACCGAGCTTCTTTAGGTTTTCAATTGTTTCTCGACATGTTGCTTCCAATGCATCTGACTCTTCGTGATCTTCCGTTTCGGAAAGTCTTTTATCTGAATTATCATATTGGTCTGTACCTTGCAGATCATCGACATTTTGATCTTCTTTTTCAGATGGATTTGCCATGTCACTCCCTACACCTGAATCACCTTCATTTGCATCTATGGATGGTCTGTCATTATCTTCCAATGGATTATGATCATCGGTATTAAATTTAATGTTCCCATATTCATCCTATTAGCAATACTCTTTGTAAAATAATACCAAAAATATTTCTCGTATCGATTAACAAGACATACCTGTTGTTCTACCATCACGTTTTCAAATGGTTGATCAGCCGAGTTTCCTGAATCATTCTCCTGTCTTTGATCATTTTCTTTTGCCCCAGCCACGTCTCCTTGATGATAATTCTCCGTACCCAGATTAATATTGCTATTTACAACAGTAAAATCTTCCGATTCCGATGACTTTTTAAACTTAAGCTTAAGAGAATCAGAAAAATTCTGCTTCTTTAACGTTAATTTCAGAGAACCCCTCTTCTCAGGATCTAGCCAATACGTGTTACTATGCTTCTTCTTTATAGCTTTTAAATTTGTAATCCTTCTCAGAACTACGCGTGCTCTTCCTAAATGAGTATGTATATGAGAACGTAGTTGTTTCTTTGATACAAACTGTTCACCACAAATTTCACAATTCAACAATGAAGATGGTGCAGTGAATATTGAATTTTGATCATCTATTTGTTCATCTGAAATAAAATATACCTAAGAAATTACAATAAAACTATGCTGTATCAACTGTATTGTCACAACATGCTAGCATTGTTGTATAAAATTTATTTAAAAACAAAGAGGTATCGTAAAGACGGGACATCTAACCACCTTCTCGAGTGAAAATTTCCGAAAGAACGTCGACTTGGTAATTTGCCGCGCTTTCGTATCTTCTATAAAATCGATTAAACTAATATAATCGTCCGTAAACTCGTGTCAAAATTACACATCGATAACATCCATACACATTTCTTATTTCGAAGGTTCGCACAGTGTATCAACGCGCGTTCCCCGTGTTACAACGGATGTAAACAATCGATGCCAATGTATATGCAGCAACAGCGAGTTCATGCAAAATGGTTGTAGCAGTAGACAAGCTAGCGCAAGCGAGATAATTGCCCGTAGTTTTGCCGAGAATTGAAAACCGGACTCTCCAATCGATATTACCTAAAGAACGAATAGCATTGGCTCATTTCATATTTCCACGAAATTCCCGCCGTAATGTAGCTCGTATCAAAACATATTTCACGCGATAGCATTGCAAACGTCCATAAGCTGTCTTTTATCGGTCGTAAACGATCGTGTTAACTCATATAGATTATATTTAAACCGAGAGACCAGTGAAATATTGGTGTTTGAGAACTCGGAAAAAAAAGTAAGAAAATATTTTTCGTAACACGGTTAAACTCGATATTGCTTGATTTTGCTAAGAGAAGGACATAAATCGAGATTTCATTGGAACTAAATAAAAACGTAAGTTGATTGTGTCACACTCAATATCAATGCACTAATAACAGTTGCAAATTTTTGTATTGTCAGTCATCAAAGGTATCCTAACCTTTCAACAGTTATAATACATACATTAATAATCATAATACATAATACGAATGCATATAAAAATATAAAGAAACAAATATAAACAGTCGTACTACAATGTATACATAAATATGAATAAATATTTATTCCAATTACGTACTTCAATTCATCTTCCTGAATGTTATTTTCTGTATACAAGTTGTGCGATAAAACTTATTTCTTAAAATGAAACATAAACCGCTAAGCATGCACTTCAGTGTTTCAGCGATATATCAGTCTCGACAAGTATACAAGTTTTCCTTAAATCTCAAGGAAGTAATTCGTAAAAATTACACTAAACTTTAATACCACTTGTTATGAGTGTTACATCGTTTGATTTTTGTGTATAATTTATATAATTGTATACTGCGACCGATATCTTGGAAAAGAACATACCAAATTTTTGTAAATCGTCCACTTTTGTATCGTCCTTACAAATATTCCTTTGATCGGTAAATCTAAATTCCTCAATGTCTTGATCCAATGGATTGTTCATTTCCAATCTATAAATAAAGTTAATGTTTACTTTCTGTTATGATACTTTGTAAATACTGTGTAGGATCTGTTTACTAATAACAGCATTAATATTGTCGTTTGTATTAATTCATGTCATACTTACAGGCATTGTTATCAACAATGCAAATTATCACAAGGTCATCAACAAGAGTTTATCTTGATATGAACGAACGTTCACTGCAAACGCGGTGTAAATGTTTACCAACACACATACAGTAATCTATGTAGCAATTAACAATTCACATGTTCATCACAATTACGATAGGTTTCACTGAGAAAAATCGTTGGAATTCCGTAGAACTGAACAGTGGTAAGACGTACTACCACGTTCGAACGTATCAATTAGCGTTTGTTAATGTTTACGATTGATGGTAAGGTGTTAAATGGAAATAAGGTCGATTAAACAATCGCGAAGTAAACTTTCAACATGCGTCAAACTTCGTTACGTTAACTAGGTAAGGTGAAACCATGAAATTTACTTTCGATGATCGGTGATTACCGTGACACGATGTCAGTGTACATTTATTGTTTACATGTGAAAAAAAAATGTATCGAAGTCACGGTCTCATTCGGCTCATATGAAATTAGAGAATGAGAAGAAACATATACATTCTTCTGTCGTTATTCGTACGCTGATTTTTCTCCCGGGTTTCTTGCATTATGAATTAAGTATGGCTGCCAATTGTTATGGCATGATCACTGCGCTGTTTATGGCACGTTTGTTGTAGCGACATTCAACGAATATAAAATCGGCGCGTCAACTGCGATGCCTACCGTACCCAATCTGAACTTATTATTAGTACGTGTTATATCGAGCCGCCAATATGGCGGCGCCGCGATGAAACCCGCGCGTCGGACAGGATAATCAACTCAGTGTGAATTCGTGCCGAACTGTTGAGGCGCGTTCAGCGACGGTTCAGTGTTCAGATGCGTTGTTTTGTAAGGACGCGCGCGCGCGCACGCGAGGTAGCGTGCGCCGATCGCTGCAAACGCTGGGGCTTCCCTCTCCTCTCCTCTCCTCTCCTCTACTCTCGTCTCCTCTCCTCTCCTCTCCTCTCCTCTCCTCTCTTCTGTTCCTGTCGTTCCGTTTCTTCGTATCTAACTTCTCCGCTGCACTACCGTCACCACCATTATCCACTTCCTCTCTCCCCCCCCTTTCTCCTCTCTTTTGCGTTGTCTTTCTCGAAATCTTTACCTCCACCGGTGCATGTCCTTTATCAAAGATCGAAGGGTTCACTTTGGCTGCATGCCCCTAGTTATACAGGATGTATACGGTGAGCGTTATGACGCCATCACGTATGCCCTTCGAGCTAAATCCAACAAATACAAAAGGGTCGTACAACGAGATGTGCGCTGAAGCTCGAGGAGGAGGGGGAAGTAGAGAAGGAGCCCCAATTGAAATTAAGTCAACCTAACGTGCACTCAAGTATGAGTAGGGAACCAATCCGCTCATACCAAGTACTGCCGACGCAGGCGCAGCTCGAACGTTGCCGTGAAATTCTCTCCTCTCTCTCGCTCCTCATCTCGTTCCATTCTTCCTTCCATTTCGTACTAAACGAGCATCTCTTTTTCCCTCTCTGCCCACCAACCAATACTCTTATTTTCTTTTTCATTGTTCCTCGCCTTCTCCAACTATCGCTTCACGTTTTTCCTCCCGTACTCTCTTTTCTATCCCTCCAATGTTCCACGAAGTCTCGCAGTTCGTACAATTCTTCGACAGAACCGTCAACGTTAACTATCCAATTGCCACCTGTCATCCATTGCACCTAAATGCCGTTGCAGCTGCGACGATTTACATCCATAATTCGTGACGGTTTTTCCGGTTCCACAAATCATGGCGGTGCTACATAATTCTCCTCCCAACTCTACGATTAAATTATCCGTACGTCTAGATATATTATCCAAAACGTTGTTTTACGTCTACTCGAAATACCAACGATAGAATACCGTGAAGATACGTTTTACGACTATACGAAGATTCGTTTCATTTAAAATTATTTATTATTCTATTCAAATTGAACTATAAATTATGCAACGCAATACTGTAAATAGCGTTGCATATTTTATACTTTCAGATTCGATATGTTTCATATTGTATTCAAATTGTACTATAAATAATGCAGCACAACGTTGCAAATACGACTTTTTCATGGTTGCGTGCTACATTTCATGAAAAGAGAGAAGTAATTAAGGCTTAACGTCGATGTAGTGGTGACCAAGCTTTCGGAACGCAAGCTTTTTCCATGGTAAAGCGTACACCAAACCCGTACACCTGAAATAACCGGTTTAAAACGTACATGAACAAGGCGTGACAAGAATGGTTGGAGGCCAGTGAGAACGAATATAGTAGGGGAACTTAACGGAACACGTCGGAAACGGCCGAATCTGGCATCTATTGATCGTAACAGGTTCTGTGCTATATTTTGTGAAGATACTCAAACAACCCATACTTGGAATTCTATATTTAATTCAAGCAAAATTCCGCATCCATTCTTACATTGTATTAAGGCGAAAATCATAATACCGTACTTCGTGTACGTCCATATTCTTTGAATTTATTCCTTGCTTTCTCTTCGCAAATATTTATTTAATATATCTTTACATGCATGAAATAATATACCGAATTGAACATTTTACTCGTAAATGTTTAGTTTCATATACATTGCTGTTTATTCATCTCTGTACACTTGAAGATCAATACAAAAAAAAAGAGAACGCTCGTAATGGAAGTTTACTTCTGACTATTTCTGTTGCTTCGTTTACGGCGAATAAAGCTCAAGCAAGCAATTGAATATCCGAATATATATGTGTACATGCATGTATATATATATATATATACATATATACATATATACATATATATATATATATACATATTTATATATATATATACATACACATAATATATATACATATTTGTATGTATATATATATTCAGTTGACATTCTCATTCCACGGAGTACTTGACTATTGATTTCATCCCTACCATGGTTTCCTCGTCCTTTGGTTGGTAACTCCTACTATTTAATGTGCGCAGTAGCTATGCGCAGAAAGGTAATCGTCTTTATGGAGTAGCGAGTTCATCACGATATAGTAGTAGTGATCTAACTTGATGCAAGGAGAAAGGGGATACTTGGATACGTACGTTGACCCAACATCCCTGACTACACCTCCCCCTCCACCGCCACTCCCCACAAATCTGGTTTCGTTGCGAGTTGCGCACAACTTTCTAAGCTCGAATCTCATCTGATGAGGTTCGTTCAAGTTATGCTCATTGCATGTCTAGTAGGGAGAGAAAAAGATAAAGGTTTCGATGGTGGATCTGGATACCAGAACTTAGCAAACTCGTTCGTTATCAACAAAACAACCGCGATTGCGAGCTGACGCATAGCACACCGAGTTGATCAGCAAAGCTCTCTGAAATGTTACTCATTTGAATTTCCGTAGCACAGGAATCGTTGATATCGCTAGATGCATTACTTAACCTAACCCTGCCGTGCACTTCAAAACTGAAAAACATGGTGGCAATGCAACACTTGGCAATACGGGAGATATATGTATACCTTCATCCACTCTGGTTTTATCGTACACCTTTACAAAAACTATTTCATTTGTACCTGTAATATTTTTATTTTATTTTTAATCGATGCAACTCAATTTGTAGAAGAACAGTGTACATGGTTGCATAGTCAAGAAATTCTTTTTCTTTAAAATGTTTCTTTATCGTAGTACTGACAGGTACATCGATATATTGACAGTTGACATATGAATGCATAAATTACTGATAACGTTTCTGAATAATAGTTTAAAGAAAGCGTAACTAGTCTCGAAATAATTGTAAATATGCTACTTCGTTAATATTATCTACTAAATTTTCTTGCACAGATAATTTGCAATCTGACCTCGTTTGTTGACCTCACCGGTTGCTAGGCACCAGTCATATTGTCAGAGGGAGGGAGTTAAGCTTTTAGCGATGTTGCCAAATTGTTTCACATCGAAAATACACGATTAAAATACAATACATTACCCCTTTTGATTGTTGAAACAAAAAACTGATTAATCTTATGTACAATTACAATAATATTAATGTAATTAACACTATTTATCTGCAACTTCCTTTGCTACGTATTTATTTCGTTTGAGTATGTAAAATGACTGCTTGTATAGGCAGAGTTTCAAAGTTTCAATTAAATGATACATAACCCAAAATTTACGAGTATACAGTGTATTTTAATTATACGAAACATTTACACCAGGTTATAGTAAGGTCAAATAATGACATTGTAATTAAGCAATTACTATTACTTGATTTATTTTGTAGGATAATATAATTTTGTATATAAAATTTGTATTCACCCTGTACTTACAACAAGAGAATTAATACTTTCGACCAAGTAACCGAATACAGTACGCATTGCAAATCAGTGCTGCCAACATGTAAAGAAAATACTACGGAAAGTGTTATACTTTTCATAAAACACAAATTAACAAATGTTTCTTAGAAAGTGTATGAGTTATTTACACGTTCATGATAGCTAAAAAGCGCAGTGTCACATACTAAGCTGCTATATTCCACTTTACTTGATTAAACTTATGTTTATATCGTGCTTGTTATGAACCTCTTAACGATACCCCATAATAATTACTAGTTCCAGATGTAATGTCATGTTGATAAAATAAGATAAAAAACTAATCTTGGTGATTTAAGAATAGAGGTTACTTTAACAATTCGTAAACACTTCTGATAGTACCATATAAAACGCCAATTATCTTGTATTGATGTTTGCAATTTGAGATCCTTTAACCTAATCGAATATTCACATTTGCATAAATAGTGAACTATCAGTGGGGAAAAATTGCCTTTTATTTACTGTTAAATACGTCTGTAGAGAACAGTTTTTATACGATCATGATAAGTGTAAAAACTTATATTTCATATATGATCTTAGAATAGTATTAATTGTGTTCCAAGTACTTTAATAAAGATAATATAATCCATAATCATGTTTGGTACTTTGCGTAATAAATTTCAAACAGTACAAGAAGGTATATCGGCTAGGTAAAGAATATACATGTTTATAGTTCTATTTGCCAATGTATGACAAACAAATAATAAATATATTTTAGTGCCAGTTGCTTCATAAAAATTGAAAATGTAATTAAAGGGAGTTTACCATATATTTTACATATAGATAACTTCCTTACTTTTAGTATTCGAGGATTAACTGTTACCGAGACCCCAAAACAGAAGAAATCTGTTAATATCCGTAATGTTAATTACGATGCGGGAGCTGATATTTTACATAGATATCAGTTACAGTGGAACGAGTTACACGAGCTCACAGAAGAAAATGCAGAGAGAGCCCAAATGGCAGATAAACTTATAGGATGTATTTATGAAAGACTCGAACAAGAGTGGAAAAGTATTACATGTTTAAATAGCACTTTAGCATACATTCCAAAAATTAACAATGCGATACAGGACCTGATGGATCAAATAGGTATCTTCGTATAAATTCAATTTATAAAGGAAGTTTAAAACTAAGTAATCATTTTTATTAATATCGAAGGAACATTACAAGAAACATTCGAAGAAGTAGAAGGTGCTATTTATCAATTAGAAGATCTAAATGAAATGTTGGATTTACAAAGTAGACAGTTGGATCACAGATTTCAATTAGCTTTATATGAAGAAAAGAAACTTGTGGAATTAAATATTGTAAAAGGTAAATTACATTATATTTGGGCTTAATTAATTAATTAATTAGTATAAGAAAAATGTTCAAGGTATATATTAATTTTAGCAAAGTTAGCCAATGAACACACCGAAAGAGTATCCCAATATGAACTCAAGCAACAGAAGATGATGAAAGAAAGACGAGAAACGTTTGAAGAAGTATTCAAAGAGCAACTCGAAGAATATAAAGCAACTGGCTCAATATCAAGTATAATTGAAAATATAAAAAGAAGAGTTTAATATCCTCTTAAATTCAATGTTATAAAATTTGTTGTTTTTCTTTTAGAGTTACCAGTAACACAACAAGGACCATCTTTGGATGACATAGTTTTAGATGTGGATTCAACGACATTTGATGAATTTTTAGAAAATTAAAATGTAACATTTTAGTTTTAAGTGTTTTATTCATAATGTAAATATTTTAAATAAAGAGATATATCAATTATTTTTTAAATTATAAAAGTAATATGTACAAATCATACAATAAGTAAGTAATAAATCTCATTCTCAGAAACAAATATTGATTACATGAATTATATGTACTGTGTGGTATTTCTTACAAATATCACCTATGCTAAATAGATTAAAAGTGAATAAATAATAATAATAAAAACGTTTATTTCACATTTTTTTTCAATAAAATACGATTAATATCTATATACGATTTTTTATTACATGAAAATCAAGAATACGGTTATATAAATACTACATAGATTCCTGCTGGCTGCATCTACAAATGTGGATAAAATTATGAAAAAAAGCATATAATAGTCGAAAAAGCATCAAATTCGCACGCAAACAAATTAGTTATTTATATACTTACATACTGTACATATTACATAATATCGTTTTCTAGGTTACGTTAGATTAGTGAATTTGAACGGATTTTCAGTACTCGTGCCGAAAAGCAAGAACAAGTGAAATTTACTCTAAAGTTCTAAACATAAGTATAAAGTATTTAAGGAACAATTAAAATAGATACGATATATTAAAACAATTGCTTATATATATATACTCGTACTGTTTACTACAGGTATAGTATTAAACTATTCTGAAAGGGTTGTAAGTGACATTTTGGCAGTGAACAGATTTTAATAATCGATTTGTATTATAAAAATATATTTTTTTCAGTATTTTTCAAAGGCTTCAAAGTTAAGGACTACTTTCATAAAAATGTTGCAACGATACAAAAACGTGAACTCTATCTTAAATAAGTTTCACAAGGGATTCGTAAATGTATGTATTGCTACTACATTAATTACAGGTGCACTTTTTTCCTATAAAGTATACGAATATATTCGATATATACGGCCCCTTCACAAAACAATGAAAATGAAAGCTGAAGAAGAATTACTATCTGAAGGAAAACCTTTACAACTCTCTTAAAATGACATATTAAAAAGTTTAAACTATAAATGAAAATGTAAACACATATATTATAATAGAATAATAATCGTAATAAAAAAATGCACAAGGTAATATCAGTCATTGACCATTGAGTTTTCTTAGGCTAAAATATATTTTCAAATATTACGATAGGTTGTAAGGAAATGTTATAATTCACAATTTTTTTTATAATTATACTTGGTACATAATTTAATACGCATAGTATATTTTTGTTGAATTTGTTTTATTTGAGAAGTCACAATTGTATACATCCCTTATCATAATGTTTTTCAAATGAGTATAAAAAGGTGTATCGTGAGATTATGCCCTGAGTGATTTTTAAATTCGACATAGAATAAGTGTGCTTTATATTATGTTATTGTAATTAGTGCATCTTTACCTAAATATATTCAGTAGACGATTTTTTAGTCATTTTTCTACTATAAACAAAATTTAAGTATGCTCGAATGAAGAATGTATTTGTGTCCATACATGTGCAGTACCTTTCTATTATAACCTGTACTTAAATTTTGAAACATATAAATCTTTATAATAATTGCCAATTTATACATTGTTGAATGCAGAATTAAATAAACCTATCTAATAAATGCTTAAGGAATAGATATATGTACATTGTTCGTAATCGTAAAGACCGCGTAATGATATAAATAACATGTCGGTATTCTTTCCTATTTTGTTGAACACTTTTCATTCTAAGACGTTCACGAGATATTACATAAGAGTAAAAGAAATGTCCTACTTCCTGCTCAATGTCACGTTTTATACAGATAATAGAAATATATTTCTTTTTGCGCTTACATTGAATAATTACTTAAAGCAAATCTCTATAAATGGAAGGATAACCTCTGTTAATAACTGAAGATTCGTATTATAAAATTTGTATATTAAATAAACATTTTATGTTTAATATTTACACGTATGCAAGTTGAGTGCACATGATACATTTACAAAGTACATGGTCGATACCGTTAATCGCGTTGCTTCAATTGTCTTATATATCAATTTAAAATTGTCACGCACATAAATTTCTACTTATTCATCACAAAGGCTAACGTTTTAAAAATGCCAAATTTTCTTTCAGTATTACCGTAAGTCTTATAGAAGGCAATAATTTTTGTACACCTTCCAAATGTAATTTTCGAGTACAAAATACATCGTATATATGCTGGATAGTTTATATACAACGTCTTTTTCCTTTTTGTGTAATGGACATAATTTGTACTCAGTTTCTTGATAGTTCTAGTCAACCATACCTCATAGAATAATATTAAAAAAAAAAAAAAAAAAAAAAAGAAATTCCTAAATGCAATATACATACATTTCAAATTACAAATGAAAAAACAGAAATTGATTTTTATTTACATTTATAAAAATCAATCGGTGTAAGACTTATCAAAGGTTATATCGTATTGCCAGTATGGTACTGTCGAACTAAAAATTAAATAATATCTATGCTTTTATTCGAAATATCAATATAGTCGTTTGATATATTAGGAAATAGTACGAAACATAGAGTTAGTCTTACATAGATCGATCTTTAAATTATAGCGGTACACTTTGAAATACTAAAACTTAGTAATCGGTATTATTGTTCTATACGAAAAAAAATGAGTTTCATGGAAATGAAATTTAAAAAAATACAAAAACACTGTATTTTTATAAAAAAAAAGATATTTCATGTTTTTCTTAGAAATCTTAAATCTACAATCCGATCAAATACTTGCACAAACCCTGTAGCCCATAGGCTGCAACTTGAAATTCCGCAGATAAAAATCTCAAGCAGTAAACGTTTACGTATTATTAGATGTGGGATTAGAATTTGATAGCGACTCTACACGCATCGAATCGATCCTGGCTACAATTTTTAATGCAGGACCTAATTTAATACTCATGGCTGACATAAGGTGGTCCTCTTTGAGTAACATAAGTGCTTGACCATCGATTTCTTGAATAGCAAAATCTTCTGCATAGTCAGCACACCCCGGTAAACCACGAATAAAATCACATACTTCTCCAACCTGTGCAAAATAATTTTATTTTGTCATATCGACGTGGAAATATATTTCTTTTTAGGAAATTTATGCGAGCCGTATTCTTACCGTCCATTTTACAGGATTAACTTTTGGCAGTGTTTCATCGACTGAGGAAGTTGTAGTTGTAGTGGACAATAATTTATCTTCCCCATTCTTCTTCATCATGTCTCCGTCAAGATTTTTCGATTCAGTCTCTATCAATTCAGTCCACTGTTTCTCGTTACCGTCGCGATCTCTCGCTTCACGTTTTTTGCTGTTTGATTCGTAAGTTGTAATTTCTGTTTTTATTCAAATACTTCAAAAAATTCAAGAAGCAACGCGTCTACTAACCTCTTTGCACAACCAGATGAACAGAATCGCTTTTCCTTTTTGAACTTGATATTTTGCTCGTCCACTAAAGTACCGCAAGATTCGCACTTTCCAATTTGAGCATTATTTCCGTCGTCGTCACCGGGATAATTAGGTGCATGCTTTTTCCCTGACAGAATTAATTCAGTTTAATACAGCTTACGTTACTAGTAGAACACTGCATGTAACTACATTTGTTTAATCTTACTTGGAGGTTCTTCATGGTTCTCCTTTTCAGACGATGAATTATTACGATTTAAAATATTATTTGTGTCTTGATTAACTGTGTTATTTAACGATGTTCGATTAACGGCAAATGGTTCGGATGCTAAAACAAATGTATTTATAAGTATAGGCATAATAATTCGTAAACGTAATAATACATAAGAAATGAATCGAATATATACCTTCTTGTATAACAAAGCCTTCGATTACATGCGTGAGAACTTGTGGTTTGACCATTGCTTTTGGAGGCACATGTTTGCTGTTTGCAGTAACTGACACTGACACGGGAATTGTTACAGACTCGTCGTTGCTAATACCATTCGTAATAGAATTAATCGTGTTCGCTAGTCCTGTTAACGGATTGTTGCATTTCTCTTCTGTCTTCATAGTTGAATTATCTTCGTCTTTTATAACTATTTTACATTGGTCCCCGTCTATGCAAATGTTTATATGAAACTCATGCTATTATCGAAAATATTTATCGAATTATATACAAACCTGTCACTTCTGGTTGAGCTACTGTAATTTCTTCTATCGTAAGGGGCATTGTCTCTTCCTTTTTCAACATTAATTTAGAATTTTCTTCGCTTGTAATTGAAGCATTTGTAGTCGATGGTAATACTAAGGTACATTCGGTTTGATGACTACGATCAGGAGATGTAATCATTATGGTGGAATTAGTATTATCGTGCGTTTGATCTGTCAACTGATTCACCATAGACATCGTTTGAACCTGTGACGTCCCGCTAACTATTTGACTACCAATTATTGTCGAATTGATCGCCTAAAAAGTATTACGTTATCGAATTAGGTGGCATTAATTAAATAGAAAACAACGTGTATTACCTGTAATGGTAATTGCTGTACATTAGCCATCTGTGACTGTTGTACTTGATTCATTTGAGATGTAGTAGCAACTCCAACACCAACACCAACTCCGCCTACGGATACCACAGGCATAATCGGGCGTTCTCCGCCAAGAACCACTCCAGGTTGTTGTTGCTGTTGTAGAGTCATGTTTGCTTTAAAGAAGACAGTAACGGTTGAATATCTGAAAACCCGTTTAAAAAATTATTGTAGACAACATATAAATCGTCGTCTTACTCATTATTGGTTTAGGCTGTATTTGTTGCTGTTGCGATGCTTGCAATTGCGGTTGTTGGTACTGTTGTTGCATCTGTTGCTGCTGCGCATGCTGCTTCTGTTGAATAAAAACCTGTTGATGTTGTTGCATCGCTTGCTGTGACTGTTGCTGCGGTTGTTGCGGCGATTGCAATGGTTTACCACGACCTTTACCGCCACTACCGCTTCCTTTTCCACTCTAAGTTATAAAACACAAAAAAAAAACACTTCTTCTTCATTATACGAAAAGAAAAAAGAATGTTTCGATGGTTTGACGTGACACACGACAATCGCAGCAGTTGAAATTGTTGTTCCAACTGTTACTTTAATTATAGTAACCTGTACATGTACCGTGGCTTGAACTCCGTGAACAGTTTGCGTTGAAACGGAACTGGCAGCTCGTATACTGGCAGCTTGTACTGCTTGTAGAGAGGACGGCAAAATACTCAACGGTCGTTGACCACCCGTGCTTTGCTTACCCTGCTGCTGTTGTTGCTGTTGCATATCCATCACCTTTGGTTTTGCACTAGCTGCAGCAATTTGTTGTACCCCTTGAATTTGTTGTTGCGTAGCCAGTGCTATACAAAGACAGCGACGACATAATCTCGAGAAGATTAAAAATCTTATTTAATACCGATAATAAACTAACCATTATGAGCTTGTATAGGTTGTGGGCTTTGTATAAACATGTCAGGTTGAGTAGGTCCTCTAATGAATATCTGATTAGTTAGAAGTGCTGGTGGTTGTATCCCTGTCCAAGCAACTTGTGGTGTAAATTGCCAAGGAGCAAATTGCATACCGCCCCTTCCGCCCGATGGCGTAGCTGCAGTGCACGTGGTATACTAAATATTACAGAAACAGTACACTATGTATGTGCCGAACATAATACAAATAATAATTAGGTATCGTAAAATAAAATCTGAACGAGATTATAATACCTTTTGTACTTGATCTTGTTTGTTTGCAGACTGTTGTTGCTGTTGCTGCTGTAAAGAGGGAGGGGGTTGTGGGGAACCCAATACACCTAGTTGACCAAATACTAAAGTCTGTCCAGCTCCTGGTGTAGCAGAAGTAGGTACTGGTAAGTATCCCGTAGGAAATCCTTGTACTTTTGTACCTCCACCTGCGGGATGACCTCCGCCTTGACCTGGCGTCGACGCGGTAGTTAGCATGTGAGGTGTAAGTTGAGCAGCTGACTGAAATGGCTTTCCAGCAGTTATGACCTGTAAAGTATCCGACTTAGAGGAGGATTTGTATTTTTTTTAAATGCGAAACATCACGAGTATGTTTAGATACCTGTATAGAGGAAGGATTAAGTCCTGCAGGATGAAGAGCTAAGTTTCC